CAAAATTAATTGTAAACATAATTATTTCAAATTATAATAAATTCAGCGAACAAAATTAATTGTAAACATAATTATTTCAAATTATAATAAATTCAGCGAACAAAATTAATTGTAAACATAATTATTTTTTCATAAAGTCAAAAATATACTGGCTTTTAAGACTCATTTTATGCAGACTTTATTTTTATAAAAAATTTCCATCGGCATATATCTCAGAAAACTTCGACTTAATAAAAAAAAAACAATAAAAAGTGACTTAAAAAAAGCAAAAAAGCAAAAAAATTAAGCTTAAGTTATCGAACCCTTAATGGTTCATTGTTCGTAATGTGTTGATTTTATGTACAATGAAATGAATTAAAAAAAAAAAATACATCGAAAAAAATAAAAAAATTCGAAAATAAAAATTGTTGGTCGAAATAAAGAAATAGTGTAAATTTCATTGGATCGCTATAATACAACTTGGTAAAATTTACACGATGCAAATAAAATATTGAGTTACATTTTTTACAAAAAAAGCACGTTATAGAAGACTTTAAAGTCAAGAACACAACTTTTCTAAAGTTGCCAACCTGCCATTCTTTTAATCCTTCTATATTCTATGATTATTACCTAACCCTCCGCTGTGGTTTGGTAAGAGTTGTGTTTTATTAACGATTAACGATTAACGATGCGAATTCGAGTTTTATAAAGATGTTTGTTGTGTTTGTTGTGTTTGTGATTTATTACCTTCGGAGCCTTTTTTCAATATATGAAAGCCGATTGCCTTTGGCACTGAATTTTTTTTGAATGATAAAACTTGTTCTAAATTTGAGTTGAAATGTACGTGTGCATCCTTATGAAAAGTGTCCGTGTTTTGATTGTTCTTGTCTTTAAGAGATGGTTTCACAATTTCACCACTCTTCTTTCGTACTATAGCTTTAACTGGTTTAAGAAAGTTGTCACGAATAACGCTACGACGTCTTAAAACCATCGGTGAACCTGGTCTTCTTTCGGTTATTATTATTGGTGCATTCTTTGAAGTAGCATTTTTCGTAGTACTATTTCTCGTCGTAAAACTTCTCGTCATAAAATTTTTCGTAGTGGTCGTGGTCTTTGGTTTGGGTAAGTGTGAATTTGCTAGTGAGTATGCAAAACTAACATCTGAATCTTGCTGGCTACAGTTATTTTCCGGGATACTACCAAATGTTAACTTTGCAATAAACCATACTTGGGAAATAAAAGAAGTAGGGAATGCAGGAGAGGATTTTGATGTGGAGAATGTTGCGGATTTAGATGTTGACATTTTGATTTGATAAGTTTTTGTTAGAACTTTGTGCGGTTAGATTTTTTTTTTTTGGTTGAATAAGGATGGAACCTGTTTATTTATTTATTTATTTATTGAGAATGAAATCTGATTTTTATCAATTTTTTTTTTTCTGAACTTTTTTTCGTAGAATTTAGGTGTTTTTAAATAGAATTTGAAATTCCCTCTGATCAACACCTAAAATAAACCTAAGACCTAATTTATCAAGTGATAATGCGAGAAACATACATACAAAGAATAGTATTGTGTTCCATAATTCAAATATGTAATATTGCAGATTATCTCGGGGATCCACCCCAAATGATAAGTCATAAATAATAAGTCATGAGTTATACTAAATAACAAGTCATAAAATATGTTGCTTACGTATTCTCACCCTCCTGAGCATCACATGTATGCACGTAGAATTTTTCACAGTATCTTGCATCCTTGAGTAAACGAATTTTGTACCTTTTTTACTTATTAAATATTTGTACTACAAAACTCCCACGGACTATTTACAATTAACCGAACCCGCGCTTTAATAATGCTGCACCATGTGTCTTTTAAATAAAAATCCATTCATCGTATTGTTATTGTTATTGCAGAAACTTAAAACCTTGTTTCATTAATCCTAAAAATCAGCTGATAATTTCGGTTCATTGAGTTCGCCTTACATTTTTTTTTGTCTTTATTATTCTCATTCGCTTATTTATTTTTGACTTATTCAAATTTGGTAATTCTAACAATATTTTAATGTTTTCGTTGTTGTGAATTTCAGTTGATTGAATTTTAAACATTTTTACTTATTTATTATACGTAGTAAAATATTTATTAAAATATTTATTAAAATATTTATTAAAATATTTATTAAAATATTTATTAAAATATTTATTAAAA